GGGAGGTGGTCAATCTTGCCTCAATTTCCCCCTTACTAAGAAGGGTCTAGCCCTCCATCCGTTCCTGGCAGACCCGAAGCGAAAGCAAATGGGCTGACTTAGGTCTGCAAATACTCTCGAGGTCTCAGAAGATTTTTGTATTGGCACACATACGGGAGGACTTCACGAGTAACTACACTCGCCTGGCCACCAGCACTAAAATTGGGGGAATAACAGCCCCCGAGCCCCAAGAAAGTTAAATTCTCCTTCGTAGTAGTAAGAAGAGCAAGCATTAAAATGGCCAGTGACTTAGTCACAGCTCTTCCAGACGCTGCTCCCTGGGGCTCACCTGGGAAGCCCTGCAAACTCAGGCCACCTGAAGTGAGAGGAATACACAAAAACCGGGTAGGGGAGGGAGTCGGACAAGTTCTCCAAGTTGGGACCGGAGTGTACGTCCCAGTTTCGGAAAAGCACTCAGGGGCTGGGTCCCAGGGGGCGGAGGTCCCGGGTGGTGGCACCGGCACCTGCCTCCCTCCAGCCAGTCTCGCTTTCGGGGACCCGCTCGGCCTCAGCTGACTTGGGCGTGGACTCCCAGGTCGGGGTCCTCCGCGGGCCGTGCCTCTGGCCCCGCTCCCCAGAAGACAAGAAAACGCGCGGTGGGGTAGCCCTACCGGCCAGCCCGGCCGCCGCCCTCCTCGGGGCCCCCCACCCCCGCCCGGCGGCCACCCGAGCCCCCGGGAGGGGGAGAGAGGGCCTGGGGGACCCGGCGCGGCCCCACTCACCTTCTGGATGGAGGACTTGCCGCTGCGCCGGAGTCCCATGAGCAGAATCCTCGGCTTGGAGCTGTCAGCGCCCCCCGGGCCACAGCCTCCGCCGGCCCCCGCCCCAACCCCACCGGCCGCGGCTGCCGCCTCCTCTTCCTCCTCCTCCACGCCGTAGCCGAAGTCCTTCGGGAACGAATCCGCCGCGCCGTAACTGCCGGCCAGGGGCGTCTCCTCCGCCCCGTACTGCAGGGACATGGTGCTGGAGCCGCCGCCGCCCGCGCCCTGACAGGCCAGGCCAGGCCAAGCCAGGCCGCCGCCTCCCCAGTCCGCCGCCGCCGCCGCCCCCGGCAGCCGCCACCGCCGCGCGGCCCGCCCCCTGGAACCCGGCTCTCATAGGCTCCGCGCCGAGACCCAGCCCCTCATTGGCCGCCCGAGCTGCCACTCGGGAGCAGCAGGGTAGGTGGTGCCCGTCACGTGCCCGGAATCACCTGACTTGGAGCCGTGGAGGGGGGAGGAGGAGTCACGAGGAGGGTGGCCCGGCCGGCCGAGCCCTCTGCCCTCCGCCCTAGCGAGCACCCCGGTCCTGGCCAGCCACGCGCGGTACTCCTCGCCGCTCCCCTGCCTTCTTAGGAGCTCTGGAGGCCATCGCAACCGGAGATGCCCTCTGGGCATTTGGGGGAAGAACTAGTTGTGCTGCTACAGTGGTACTCGCCCGACCAGTATTTATTGATGCCCGCGATGCCCTGGGGGGACAAGGGACACAAAACTGAGACGGACTCGGACCCTGCCCGCCCTCAAGTTGCTCGAAGATTGATAGAGATCGGATCTCTGCGTAAGTAGCTTCGGTACGAGGTATGAAATGGAAAGGTCAAAGGTGAAGATAACAATGTTCGGGAGTTGGGAGGGTGAGAAAGTCTGTAAGGAGGCTGTCTCTCAGCAGGTCTAGATGGATGGATCTGGTAGGTAGGGAGGAGGAGCCAGTCTGAGTGAGGGTAAAGCCTCAACCAAAGGCAGAGCCATGGGTGTGATGCAGTTCCTTCTAGCAGGTAGCGGGACCCTGAGAGGAGAGCAAATGCAGCCAAGCTAGAACTGCTTATCCTCCTTCAGCAAAACAGACAGTGGATACCACCACCACTTTAAACTCAATAGGACTCAATTTTCCCTCCTTCCCACCTAGTCAGTCTACTTTTCATGTAATTTACCCCTGCCCCCAATAGAACATTGCATCTTCTATGACCTTCAGTTCACAAACCAAAGGAATGAATAATGAAAGCAAATTAAAGCCAATGCTTTCACCAAATACGTTTGAGATAGCTAGAGGATTTTTCATCCTTGTCAGGAGTTAGAATTGGAAATTTGACGAACCAAGATCCTCTTAAAATGGAGGTGGTGGTGGTGGCACTGAATTTCCAAAGAAACGAACTTCTAGATTGTGAAAGGAAAGCATGTTCTTGTAAGTCTGGGACTTGGCTACGTCTGAATCTGTAAGTGGAAGGTAGGACAGACACATCCTTAGAAGTCATCTAGTCCAATCTCTCGCCTAAAGAGAATCCACCCTATGACACCTGTGGCTGTTGATAATGCAACATGCACCTCAGTAGTTCCAAGGGAGGAGAGCTCACTATCTCAAAAGGCAGCCGCTTCCACTGAGGTAGGATTTTGTTTGAAAGTCTCCTATTCAGACCAAAAATCACACTCCTTGGAGCTTAAAATGGATCACAGGAGTAGTCTTCATCTTTTTCATGACAGCCCTTCAAATATTAGATTGCAGTCTTCATTATCCACTAAATCTTCTCTGTCCCACATAAAACGTACTCTGTTCTTTCGACCATCGCTTCTATGGTGATGTCCGATAGAACTTTCTGTGAGGATAGAAATGTTCTGCAACGATGTAGAAGCCAGTGTGGCCTGAGCATTCGAAATGTTGCTACTGTGAGGAACTGAATTTTTTTTTTTTTTAACTTTAATTGCCAGATGTGGCTAGTGGCTCCCATACTGGGCAGCACAACCTTATTATTTTCAAAAGCCCTCTATTGATCGCTCACTGTCTTTTACATGCATGTGAGCTTGTCAACATCTACCAAATGTCTGGCACCCACAATGCAAAATGACCAATACAACCGTCAGGATGACTGTTTAGCATCTGGACAATACTTCGATTATGCTTTACAGAATGGATTTTTTTAATATATGTATCCAGAGTATATGTGGCTCGTACTGATAATCACTGGAACTAGTATTTTGTCAGCAATCCTAGTGCCTAGACTTGTATTACTGCATTTTTTTTTAACCTAAACATAAGACTTGACACTTCAGCTTGTTGGTGCAGGCCCAGAATTTTGGGTACTCCAAGTTGTTCTTTTCAAGTTTGTTTCAATATAGTCCACTAACCAGCCAACTTTGTGGCATTTACAGATTTGGTATTACACCATGCAACCCATGTGTAGTCTTTTACAATTTACAAGGCACTTTTCATCCATTATATTTAATTTGAACCTTACAACAACCCTGTGAGGTAGGCAAGATATGAAATCTACATTGTATGGACAAGGCAGCTAAAGTACAGCAGGAACTGAATGGATGAGATCCTTTTTCTACTCCACTGAGCAACTTCTTGTATAGTCTCTTCATCCAGATCCTTGATAGAAATGATGAAGAAGATCTCCAGAGGCCAGGCTGACTCTGAGTTCTTAAATAGCACTGACTGGTACAGCAGTTGAAGCAGGTCAGCTCCCCCCCCCGCCCTCCGTAAAAGTGCAGTTAACCAACCCACAGGTTGCCATTCTGTCCAAAAGGATAGTACAAGAGACAGTAACCTGAGTTACATAAATATTAATACTAGTCCCATGGGAAAAAAGCAAATGAGGGTTGGCTGCCAGAAAAAAAAAAAAAAAAATCCTGCTTGTCTGTATTCCACAAAGGGGCTGTCATACCAGTTGCTTAAAGAAGCCAAGTCTCCCTCTCTTCCAAAATCCCCATGGGGCCATGTTTTATTATTCTTATGATTCTCAGCACTTCCTATCCCACATTGTAATTGCTTATGTATATGTCTTATAACTAATTTCAAGTCATTTATCTTTATAATACCCAGCACTCAGCCCACTGCTGAGCATGTAGGAGGCCCTCAAATTGGTAAAAGATAAACCAATTCCAGTGAATGTTCTTCCAGTAGTGTCTGGCCCCCTTCCAAAAACGAACTTGTGACTAAAAGAGACAGACCATTGCCACATTCTTGCCAACATGACTGATTAAAATGCCCTTACAATTAGCCTGGTCACAGTTTCCAGCAAGTGCTGACGCTTTTGCTAGTTAAATCAGCTGTCATCGGTTCACTTTGTTTTCTACGTGTGTTTTGACCAAAGCGTAAAGACGGGTTCTCTAACAATAGGGTTAGAATATATGAAACAGGATTCTTAATAATGTCAGTCAGCAATAAGGAAAATAAGTGACCAATAAAATGAAACACCTGATTGTAGGTCTTCTAAAAGAAAGGAAAAAGACTAACAAACAAGAATATAGTGCTTTACCATTTACAGATCTTCACATACATTCCATTTGACCCTCACAACAACCCTGTGAGGTAGGCAGCACAGATACTATTCTCATTTAACATATGAGGAAAGTGAATCTCAGAGCAGTTGACTGATGTGCCCAAGGTTCTACAGTTAGCAAATAATTTGTATTAATATCAGTCTTTGGCCTAAAAATTCAGCACCCAACCTCCCCTCATACTTGCCCTACCTACTTCACAGGGATAATGAAGATAAAATGAATTCAAGGCTAGAAAAATACTTTGAGGGGGAAAAAGCACTGTATAATTATACCCGCAAACTATAATTTTTCACGATATATGGCTCATTCCCCTTCTTATCCCAGCTTGTGCATGAACCCAGAATTTTAGATTGCCTCTGTTCTGTGCTCAGCTAAGCAACAAGTAAGGCAGGGGAACAGTGTGATCCTGCTTTAAGTTATTATAAATTACAGTCAGGATAACTGCTAGTATGGCAAATCGAAAAACAACACAGGCCAATGTGCAGCTAGGACCCACTGAAGCACAGAGCAAAGCAAGGCAACGTTATCAGGTAGGGCATGATTGCATAGAAGGACACGTGGTGTCAGAGTTCACACTGGCACACACACAGTTATCTAAGGCAGAGTGGTGGCAAAGAAGAGTTATTTGTTCCACGTTATATAAACAAGAGCAGAAGATTCATGGGAACCCGTGCAAAAGCATCTTCTGTCACACACATCTTTCCAGCTGCCTACAGAGGATATAAACAACAGTGTCGGCTTCATTTTAAAGAATGAAGGTACCTGTGCTCATATCCTGAACTAAACCAAGGAACAGCTCCATGCTGAACTTCCTTGGCTAAAATACCACCAGTACCATCATTCCTAGTCAGACTAATAAACAGAATGTCTTTTAAGGTAATGAATTAGATGGCTGTGTTTAGATTTTTTTTCAGGATTCACTTTGGATTCTCCTGCTTTTAAGACCCAAAGAAAGTTATATTGAGTTTTTATTGGTGATTCTAAGTATATGTGTTTATAACAGTTAAAGTGTGGTAGGTGAATTCAACATATTAAAAGAGTTCTATAGCATCTGTTCAGAAAAGATTATATACTATACAAACTATTCAAGTCATACAAAACCATTTTGTCAGTGTCTTTTCAATTGAGAAGATTCCTATTCAGCACGCTTCTCCTCCTGAGGTGGTTCATACTGAGCAAGCTATAGGGCAAAGACAGAGGAGTTTAGGTGAATCTTATTCTAAATTGGGTAAAAAACTTCATAATAACAAAACAAGTTAACTATTATATTCAACTTAATTATTGAATCAGTAACTTTATAAGAATATTCTACTCTCTTTAAGCCACTTAAAATTAATACACTTTAAGATTTAATGCAATCAGGTCTGAGGAAAACTCTTTTTCGTATAAACCTTTAAAATTACTGGGAACCCAAAACTGAATTCCAGTTCATACCGCACTGCTCAAATACTTGATAGGCAACAACCTATCTGTATCTTCCCAAGGATGTTGTGGCTTCTGATAAGGTACTTTCTTTGTCTTTACCAAAGTTTTACTGAGCTTTCTCTCAAAAAGCAAAAAAAAAGAATAATGTAACATATATTAATCTAGCTAGTCAATGAAAAGCAGCTCATGTCTGACTTAAAAGGTCTAACTTAACCAAGAAGTTAACTGGTATTTGTGTTGTGGAATCTTGAATAATTTAAGGTACTGCATTTTCTATTACGCTAAACTGGTTCTCTGCAAGAACACTAGGCTGAGATTGAGATTATTTGAATTAGCTGTCAGATGCGAGAAGAGAGACTTCGCTGTGCTTTAGTTCCCTCACCTACAAAATGGTCTGTGTCCCTATCTCACTTATTTCGCAAGGTTGTTGAGAAGATAAATCACATGAGAACTGCCTAATGTAAAATAAGTTATGTGATTCAGAATGTGGTAAAACCTCAAAGGCTCAGAGATGACTAATTTGAAGCTTATGAAGATTCTCACAGGAATTTAAACAAAGAAAAAACTTGAACAATAGACAAAACTCAGTGCAAACAAATTAACACATTACAGAGCCACCACAATACGACTGTGCACACTGCACACTACACAACTGTAAGAGGTGCCTTTCACAAAGCAGTGACCCTACACTGACCTACTTACATCAACTGCTTATGATTCCCCAAAATTTCCATTTACTCATAAGCAGCATTAACCAATGTTCTCAAGTTTTTCTTGATGCAGGTTCCCAAGAACCTCTTCTTGACTACACTTTGCTTGTCCTATTTACAGTCTGTCTGTGGTTTTCTCGATAGGGCGTCAGTTCAGCCTTGCAGTTAATTGAGATTATTTCTCCTCCTCCCTCCCCTACTATCCATTTTAGTGAGGTTCTGATCTTATAATCATTAAAGGTGAAATTATTTTTAACATGAATTCTTTTAAAACATTTACCTTTGTTTTCAGTTTTTTATTTTCTTCTAGAATAGCTTCATATTTCTCTTTCATTTCTGCCAATTCTAGGCGAAGCAGCTCTATTTCTGGATTTTCTGGGGTAGCAGCTCCTAAGTGATGCTTTAAAAAACTAATATCAAAGTTAAGAATTTACTTGAGCTGAATGAAACTAATGAAATAGCTCAGAGTAGTATCAATGTCTCTGATCACAGTCACCGCATCTTACCACCAGCATTTACCCAGAGATCATCATCGCAAAACTTAACAGAAAGTAACTTTTTCAATCATCAAAAATATTTTAAATAGTATCTATGTGAAAAAATAAGAGTTCCAAAAATAAGTCCTTTTTCTGACTTGAAAGATGAAAAGGATACTCCAAAGCACTATTAGGTTTCTCTGGTTCTTCATATAAGGCTACCAATACTGCAAATCAAAAAGCAGAAAAAGCAATAATTAAAGTCTTAAATTTGAATGACTGAAATTATATTCCACAGCCCAGTAAGTATTAAGTGCCTATTATACGCCAAGCACATTGATAGGACTGCCATGCCATGGCACACACAGCAGATAACCTCCCTGTTCTCATTTATACTCTAGTGCAGAAGATAAGCAAAGGACTAAACCAAAAAAAAAAAAAAAAAAAAAAAAAAAAAAAAAAAAGAAGAAGCATCAAGTGTCAATACAGGATGATGGATTATGGGAGCACACTGGAAAAACACCTAACTCAGCCTAGGGCACCAAGGAAGGCATCCTAACAAGGGGAAGTAAGACCTGAGACCTGGGCTATGAGGGTTTCAGATAAAATGGGAAGGTGAGGGGGTGGGGAGGGCAAGAGAACACATATTGAGGAACTGAAAATTCAAGTATGGCTAGATGGAGCTGTGAACAATGTGGCAGGAAAGGAAGCTGGCAAGGTGGTCAGGAGGCCGACCAGGGAAGATCCTGCAAGTTCAGTTGGACTTTGATCCTAAGAACAACAGGCATATAATTAAACAGTTTTAAGCAGGAGAGTGACAGGATCACTCTTGACTGCTGTGTGGAAGATCCAGGATGGGACAAGGATAAAGGCAGGAGGAGCAGTTTAAGAGGCAGATGTGGTAATTCAGCTGAAAAAGATAGTAACCTGCACTAGAGTGATGGAGGGGTGAAAACAAAGATAAATTTGAGAAAATTTTTGGAGAGAATCAACAGGGCTATGATAATTACTGGAAGAAGCTTTGAATTGAAAATATGCTTCAAGGATAGAGTTTCATACACAACATGCTAAATAACCACCAACCAAAAACTTCACCAGTAATCAACATGCTTAAATCAACATTAAAATACATACTTCAGTTCATATCCAAAAGCTTACATCAGCACTGACTTGTTCATCTTCTACTGAATAAATTCCTCCTAGGATTTACTACTCAGATATAAATCTCTCTAAACCAGTGGTTAAGGTTTTTTTTTTTTGTGCAAAGAACCCTCTGAAAAGTGACAAAAGCCAAAAAAACGTAACTACACACAAAAAAATGTGCATCTCTAGACCCCAAGTTAAGAAACTGTTGTAAGACAACACTCTTCCTTTTTAGTTTTTTAGCTCTAATAACTCATCAAAATATAGACAGAAAAAATCAAATGGCAATGACTTAACAACCAGCACTGAGTTCTGATAGTTACTCTTCTAAGTGTACTTACAACACTATTTTTTGAGAAGTCGGTATGTCTACATCACCACCACCCTCTCCTCCCCCCTCCTTTCAGTGTTTCTCTTTACTTTTTCTTTTTTTTCAATATATGAAGTTTATTGTCAAATTGGTT